TGGATTTAATTGAGAAAATAAATCGCAATGAGATATCATATGGCAATAGAGTGGCCGTAATCGCCACCTCTAAGACTAATAAAACACTTCAAACAGTTTTAGTGCAATCGCGAGGCAAACACCTATTCCAGCAATCAATTGAATTATTATCACCGGATCTGAACCAACGAATAGATATAATAACCAAATTAATAACTAATAAATTTGGTGTTGAATGCAATGAATCGCAAATCAATGTCAACATAAAAGACATTGCGATTTGTTGTAAAGGCTATCAACCGCTTGACATTAGTGCACTTATAGAGAGAGCGTTTCATAATTGTATCTTAATATCCAAATCTAATTGCGTTAAAGATTTATTACTCAATGAAGAGAACTTTAGCGCTGCCTTCGAAGGCTTCTCTCCATCCAGTCTTCGAGGCCTAGATTTGGAGCTCAAGTCTAGCCGTCGTCTGTGCGAAGTGGGAGGTCTGGCGGACGTGAAGAAGTGTCTAATGGAGACAATACTTTGGTCCATCAAATATCCGGTATTGTTCTCAAAGCTGCCACTGAAAGCCCAGTCGTCTGTACTTCTATTCGGCGCTCCGGGAACTGGAAAGACATTACTTATAGAAGCGATTGCTAACGAATGCGGTATTAATTTTATTGGTATCAAAGGTCCCGAACTATTGTCTAAATATGTGGGCGCGAGTGAGCAGTCAGTGCGGGATCTGTTCAGTAGAGCCGAGAGCGCCAAACCCTGTATATTGTTTTTTGACGAATTTGACTCATTAGCTCCTCGTAGAGGACACGACAGCACTGGAGTCACTGATCGTGTTGTCAATCAATTGCTAACACAAATGGATGGCTTTGAAGAGTTAGGAACAGGTGTTTACGTGCTGTCAGCCACCAGTAGACCTGATCTTATAGATCCGGCTCTACTGAGGCCCGGGAGGTTTGATAAATGCTTGCATTGTTCGCTCCCTAATCAAGAGGAAAGGCTGGAGATATTGAATATTATTAGCTCTAAACTATCTCTGGGCTCAGACGTTGACTTAGAGATGATTGCCAGTGAAACCAAAGGCTATACCGGCGCTGATTTACAAGCGCTACTATATTCAGCTCAATTAGAAGCACTACNTGAATATTATTAGCTCTAAACTATCTCTGGGCTCAGACGTTGACTTAGAGATGATTGCCAGTGAAACCAAAGGCTATACCGGCGCTGATTTACAAGCGCTACTATATTCAGCTCAATTAGAAGCACTACATTATGGTCTCAATGAACACAATAAGCAATTTAATCAACAAATCAAAAATACTGATTCGTCACACAACCAAAGCCTTGAATTTATTGCCTCTTATATGCCTTCACTGGAAAAAGGATTTTCGCGAGACTTAGACACCACTGAAAGCCAGAAACTAATTAATGAAATAAAAATTTATTTACCAAATGCTATAATTGATGGCAATAATAGTGTGGATGTATTAGCGCCTAACCGCTCCACAACTCAT